AGCAAATGTTTGATTGGGGCATCATCCAACGAACTTCATGAAGCAAGAGCATTGAGCCTGATCCTCTTGAAAAGGATATCTGCCTGCCATATGCATGGCTTCTGAACAGAAGGCTCTGGATCTGCAGTGGAGATGCGCACATGTGTGTTTGAGAGTGCCAGGGCCTACGCAGTTATCTGACAAGGAGCCATATAATGGAGTGCATGGTTGTGGCCAGGTGGTGAGAGAAAGGCTAGTAGGCGCGTGATGAGAGACTTCGCCACTGGCAGCAGATGTTTGAAAGCAAAAGTAGGTTAATGGAAGGAAAGCACAATTGGCAAAGAGTCTGTTGAGTTTAAATCTTTTCACACAAGCAATTAAGCAAATCATCAGCGGGAAGCAGTTAATAATATTTTAAATTTCTTTTAATGTTCCTACGTGGTAAAGAAGTCTTAAACATTAATGTTCTCAGATTTTAATTTTTAAAATTCTGAAAGGTATACCTTCCATGACCATCTCTCCTGGGCTATTTCTCTTTCAATATATTAAAGGTTGCAGGCTCACCACAAGTCATAAGAATGAAGCAGAGATAATGGAAACATGAACCATGGCTTCAAAATGGAAACTATTCAATCTAGATGACAATAACCCTAGTAGCAGTACACCATGGACCCAGACAAAGGGCTTGGGGTGGGGGACAGAAAATGAGGACTATGTCAAAAGATGTGCAACCACTGGAAGTGAATATGTTTGTGTATTAAGACTTAAAAATATGTTTCTCCTACCCAATTTAAGCCCTGGACCTACCCAGTACTCTGAACCCTATTTGCTGAATTTAGTATTGCTCAGTAAAGGATAAAGAAAAGTGGCAGGTTTAAAATGGTAACATCTGCCTTGTGGGACCAGGGATGAGAGGTTGGGAAAAACTGATTATTAGGGTGGTTGTGAAAAGGGAGGTTCGAAAATGACTTGCTTTCTAGAGGTAAGATTGCCGGAGAGTCAAAAATAGGTGTTACTGCTAATGCCCAATTTCTGACACTTAGTAAGATGCTCAGTGAGTTTTAATAGACAGGATGGATGGATGGGTGGAAGATCATAGATAAGAAAAGTAGGATGCTCTGGTAGTACTGAAGAATGACTCTAAAAATACTTCTTAATTTCTGGAGATAAATGTCTCTTGTTCTATTAAAATAAGAAAAGTGAGACCAGAAATACATGAAACTAGGGAAAGAGGCCCATGTGTCAGTTCCACGACCAATACCCATCTACCACCAAACTGACTTCAACATTTCCAGAGCCAGATTAAATAGATAAGCATTACTTGTGGTAAACAATGTAGAAAGTTTGAGAAATTCTGCAATATATAAATACAGAGAAACTCACACCAACCAATAATCTAACCTACCTTAAAGCAAAATTCACAGAAGTCATGTTCCAAATAATAAAATTTAATGTAATTCTCTAAATTAGGAGGCTCTAGAGACTCCTTCGGCATTTGTCCATTGTCAGGATTCTCTGACATATTCTCTACATCTAATATCCTGGAGATAGAATCTTCTGTCCATCATAACCCAGGTTTGCAATCAATTGTATGTATCAAGATCACAATTAATGACTGGAAGGATGGCTTAGTGGTAGCATGCTCGCCTAGCATGTATGAAGCCCTGGGTTTGATATCTCAGTACCATATACACAGAAAAAGCCACAAGTGGTGCTGTGGCTCAACTGGTAGAGCACCAGCCTTGAACAAAAGAAACTCAGGGACAGTGTCAGATCACAATTATCCAGTAGAAGGTGTGGTTCAAGTGGACTGGGCACATGGTTCAAATGGAAGAGTATTTTCCTAACAAGCACAAGGCCCTAGTGCCACACAGTAAAAGCTCATAACCTTTTCCTTCTCCAAGATCTACAAAGTCTATTATTTGGCCTATATACACAATCACATAGCTCCATTTGAAATAATCATGTGACCTTCTTATCACTCTTTATTAGTTCTCTACCTATCATAAGGTGGTATGTAGAATTTTTAAAAAAAAAATTTAAGCCACATTGTGGCAATTTGTTAGTCAGTCCGAGGAGTAAGTATAGAAGTTGGTGCTAGAGGCTTTAGGAGAGAAAGCAGTCCTTGTAGTCTGGCCATCCCCACAGGAGGGGGCTTGTGCCAGGGCCTAGCTGCAATAGACTTTTCAATAAAAATCTACTGCTAGGCCAAGCACTAGTGGCTCACGCCTGTAATCCTAGCTACTCAGGAGGCTGAAACCTGAGAATCATGCTTCAAAGCCAGCCCAGATAAGAAAGTCTGTGAGACTCTTATCTCCAATTAATTACCTAGAAAACCAGAAGTGGAGCTGTAGTTCAATATGGCAGAGCACTAGCCTTGAGCAAAGGAGCTCAGGGACAATGCCCAGGCCCTGAGTTCAAGCCCTAGGGCTTGAACTTACTGACACATTTTTCTTTTTGGTGAATTAAATACAGTTTGCATAGGTTTAATTTGGATTACAGTGTCAAAAAGCCACAATAGGCATTTACACACAGTGAGACCAAAGAAGGATATTCTTAGGAGAGGAATACAAAGGCTCAATACTTATGTGTATCTGATCATATAAAATAATATTTATTGAAATGAACTCTAGGAAATGGAAGCAAAAGGTTTTTTCCCCCTTTATTGCTGTTTTTGTTTTCTTTTAGTCTTGTTTGTTCATTTATCTATCTTTGGGAAGGTAGGGAGAGAAACAGAAATGGAGGGACAAAGGATGAACAAATGCAGCAGTGATACTCACTAGGCACTATTTTGAAAATGAACTATAGAACTTGTGGGTGGGGATGGGAGGGAAAGAAACGGAGAGAGTGAGGGAAGGGATGATATTGTCCAAAAAGAAATGTACTTTTTTAACTTATGTAATTGTAACCCTTTTTATAAAATCACCTTTATAATAACAGTAAAACATTAAAAATAAAATAATAAAATAAAAATTGTACATATTTGCCGTGTCAAAAAGAAAGCCCACAATATCCTAACATTTGGATGCCAAAAGCTCAATTGTAACTTGCTTAAAGAAAAAGAATAAGGGAGGCTCCTCAAAAGACTCCACATAGAGCTCCCCTATGACCCAGCAATTCCACCCCTTTGGGCATTTACCCAAATGTTCACAAACAAGACCACACTAAAGCTACCAGCACGACTATGTTTATTGTAGCCTTATTTACCATAGCTAAGATATGGAACCAACCCAGATGCCCCTCAGTAGATGAATGGATCAAGAAAATGTGGTATATATACACAATGGAATTCTATGCCTCCATCAGAAAGAATGACATTGCCCCATTTGTTAGGAAATGGAAAGACTTGGAAAAAATTATATTAAGTGAAGTAAGCCAGGCCCAAAGAAACATAGGTCCCATGGTTTCCTTATTTGCAATAACTAGTATATGTCTGAGTCAAGCAGAAAAGGTCAGATAAGTTGATGTTAGAGAAATGAACCCTAAGATATGTATTCAAATGTTTTTTTTCTTTCTTGTGATTATTTCTAACATATTTATAAGATGATTTCTTTGTTGCTTTGTATGTTCCTCCCCCACGGTATAACCCCTGCTTTCACTGTATTTGATGTTGGTATAATTTGTGGAGGGGAAGGGAAAAAACAAATTGTTTAAATAGGGGTACAGGTGGACCCATTGCAACAATGAGATGTACAAGTCATTATGTCAAAAACGAACTTTACAACTTTGGTGGGGGAGGGGAGGAAGGTTGGGTGGGGGAGCAGGAGGGAGGATGGGATGGTAAGGGGAAACAAAGGAGGAGGCAACAATGCTTGATAAGAAATGTACTCATTATCTTGCCCATGTAATTGTAACCCCTCTGTACAGTATTTTCACAATAAAAAATCAAAAAAGAAAAAGAATAAGAAAATATGTTGATTCTTATAAGTTCAAACTTAAAGCATGCTTGATAAAAATATTCAAATAATCCTACCACCTGGCTGCTCTTCTCTCTTCTCTCCTCTCTCTTCACCTCCAGGTCTACCTGGACATGATTTCATGCTCTTTTACAGAGCTACAGCATCTATGACTTTTATAACACAGCCAGGGTCTAACCCTCTCACAGATGGGTCATTGCCTATATATACATCAGTTAGCGGGAAGACTCAAGTCCTACTTCAGCTACTTCGCTTTGCTGAGAGCAATCACTGTTCAGGTGATTAAGAGGCTATCATTAATGAGTCTGGGTCCTTCTGACACAGAGGCAGAAGGCCAAGGAGGACAGCCCCAAAAGGATGAAATGAATTAGAGGGACATGTCCACCCAGGATGCTCATACATATGTATATATATCCTAGGACTCAGGAGAGAGCGATGAATGGTTTTTCTGGAACTGCATTTTCAGCAAAGACTGGTTAGACTAGCTAACTGTCCTGGTGAACTTGTAGATTTCATTTTAAAGAAGTCATACATGGAACATTTAAGTCAAGTCTCTCGTTAGGTCTGCCTGGGAGAACAGCCCCTCCCTCCCCTCCTCTTCACCTGCCTGAAACCAGCAGTCACCTGACTGTCAATCACCTGACCTTGAGTCAGCAAAGGACTCCAGACTCTGAGGTCACTTCCTCATCTGCTGAGGTCATTTCCATAGTGCACAGCAGCCTCTGGCACTTCAGAATCAATACAAAACAATAAGTGGGTGGAAGAGCCTTGCCCAGCAAGGACCTGTCACAGGTTCACAGGGATGCAGGGGGCCGGGGAGCTTAGAAAGGTGAAGATGGTTGATACAATACAGTACTTTGGAAGCCTAAGGAGACATCCTAGTATCAGATGATAGGAAGCTGGTGAGAATTTGGCTCAGTGCACATTCAACAAGAAGATCGTCTAGCAGAAGGGCTGGTGGGGAAGGAAAAGCAGCCAACTATCCAACTTTTCAAGATTTCAGAGGACAGACAGAAAAGCCAATCAGAAACCACACTAAGGCAACTAACTGATAGATGGGGCTATCATAAAGAGAAGACCACTGTAAAGACAAGAGAGCTCAACTTAGCTGGGCACCAATAGCACACACCTATAAGCTCAGCTACCTAGGAGGCTGAGATCTGAGAATCCGAGTTCAAAGCCAGTTGGGGCAGGAAAATCCATGAGACTCTTATCACCAACTACATACCAAGAAACCAGTAGTGGAGCTGTGGTTCAACCCATAGAGACTCACCTTGAGCACAAAAGCTCAGGGACAACATGCAGACCCTGGGTTCAAGCCGCAGGACTGACACAGAATGAGAGACAGAGAGAGACAGAGACAGAGAGACAGAGACAGAGACAGAGACAGGGAGGGAGGGAGGGAGCGCAACTCAACTAAAGCAGAGGGGGAGGGAGAAATACCCTGATATTTCTTCTACCCTTCAACATCCTGTCTAGTCTCCTAATGGCTGAAATAAAGTGGAAGCCAGTAGGAAATGCAGTGTGGGAAATAGTCTGTAGAGGTGAAAGCAAAGCTAGGAGGATCAGGAAATGAGCACGAACTTCAACAGAAAGCCATTCCTGTCCTTGGAATGAAAATATCCAAGTGGAAAGGTAACGTGGCTGGGGCCTGGGAGCTGGAGCAGCTACAAGGGAGCTGGGACCATTGCAGGACTCCTGAGCAGGACACACGTGAAGGACTGGCCTGTCGGCGGGAAGACGTAGCCAGGGAGCAGATGCATCTTCATGTACGTTTTGGACGATGATCTCTGGGAATTAAAATAATTCATAGCTTTGTATTTGCCAAATTCACATAAAAAGCACATTGTGGAGAGAATCATGGCCAGTATTTTATCTTGGAAACAGCATCCACATTTTTCTCATCTTGTCCCTAACCAACCATAAGAATTCAGCTGGCCGCTTAATTTATTTTGACACTTTTATGACAATTAAAATATCACCCCAAGGAAGGTCTTTTGTCCCATTGTCAGGTTCTGTTACGCTAGGATAAGCTAACAAAGCAAGATAAAATTATACAGCTCATATTATATTTAAAACATTGATTTATTACGTTTAAGGCTATATCCAGAAAATACACTGAACTTTGGTGTCAAGCAAGCAAAACTAATAACATAGATCTTTAATATCTGATTGTAATTTCCCTGTGTAAGTTTCTTTGTTTGAAGCACAGCAAGATTCATCCTTAGTAACATAATGAGAATTTTAATGGGAAATAAAATCCATCCTATAGCCTTTTGTCAGACTCTAGTGATAGTTGTATAGAAATAAATCTAACTCCTTCCAGCGCCAAAGTTTATGTCTTTTATAGGGCAGAGGCAGCTTTCTCTTATTGTTCTCCCCTTAGCCTTCTAACCATCAAAGTAGACAACAGGTCATACTTGGAACATTTTTCTCAGGGTACATTGCCTGAGCTTTGGAAGCATCCATTTCCTCATTGGCTAAAACAAAACAAACACATAAATAAGTGCTGAGGATTAATTTCTATAAAGCACTTAGCCAGTGGCTAAGCTGTAGTAAGCACTGACAATTACTAGCTGTTTGCTTTTCCTCTGGAATCACTCATTTGTCTCCAAAATCTCCCTGCTTCCTGGATCTAATTTGATTGTCAAGCAACCATTAATTGGTCCAATCTCCTCAAAAGACTACCAGGGGGGGATTGCATATCCTTGTGTGATCCAAGTTAAATCTAACTTTGCTGCAGAACTATACTGCCCCAGGAGCATTGAAAATACAATCTCAGGCCAGGTTCCCGCCCCACTGAATTATAACTCTCAAGAAAAATAATCTTTAAGTTTTCGTGGTTTTTTTTGCTGGTCCTGGAACTTGAACTTAGGGCTTCAGGGTGCTGTCCTTGAGCATTTTACTCAAGGTGACCACCCTACCAAATGATCGACAGCTCCACTTCCTATTCCTCAGTAGTTAATTGGAGATAAGAGCTTCAAGAACTTTCCTGCCCAGGCTGGCTTCAAACCATGATCCTCAGATCTCAGCCTCCTGAGTAGCTAGGATTATAGGTGTGAACCACCAGCACCTGGCTAGAACCTACATTTTTAACAAGTCCCCCAGGAAGCTTTTAAGCAGGTGACCCATGATCACACATACAGCTTACCTAGTGTCACTCGTCTAGTTACTGCTATAATCAACGTCATGAGCTACTTCCCACTCATAATTCAAAGGTGCCTTCCACGCTTTCATATTATGTCTAAATTTTACCTTTTGAGAAAAAAACAAAACCCAAGAGCTGGGCGCTGGTGCATCACACCTGTAATCCTATACTCAGGAGGCTGAGATCTGAAGATCGCAGTTCAAAGCCAGACTGGGCAGGAAAATCCACGAGACTCTTATCTCCAAATAACCACAATTGAAAGTGGCACTGTGGCTCAAGGTGGTAGAGTGCTAACCTTGAGCCAAAGAGCTCAGGGACAGCACCCAGATCCCAATGACTGACAAAAAGAAAAAAGAAAAAATACCCTTCATTTTTTAATGAACTACATTCAATTTTACAATCAGTAAGCCAAATACCATGTTTTCTTGTCATTACTATTTTCAGATGTAAAATGGACTTTAAAGTCCATATAAGCTAGAAGTAAAAATTTTTCTGACCTAGTAGCTCATGCTTATAATCCTAGCTACTCAGGAGGCTGAGATCCAAGGATTGTGGTTCAAAGCCAGCCCAGGAAGACAAAGCTGAGACTCTCATCTCCAATTAACCAGCAAAAAGCCAGAAGTGGAGGTATGGCTCAAGTGGTGGAACAAAAAAAAAAATCAAGTAAGACTTTTAGTTCAAGCCCTAACTCTAACCTTAACCAAAAAAGAAAGGAAAAAAAAATCCAACAGCAAAGCCTCCTGAGGTGCAATTGAAGCTAGCGGTGTGACTGACATGGCAGGGCAGGCTCCTATTCCGCTCAATCCCCACCTTTGCCAGCCATTCGATCCAAATAATGGCCATCCTTGGGTGGTAGTTTTTTCAAGCAATGCCAGCCTGAAAGTTGCATTGTATGAAGCAGTCAGACAGGCAATACAAATCATATTCCAAAGGTAGATCAAAGGGGTGTCACTTACCACCTGTGCATGCTGCCACAGCAGATGACAAGCAACCATCTGCTTGGGACTAGTTGTGACTCACATATAACAGGGCTTTGTGGGTGCTAGTGTCCGTCTTGCCAGGCCATCTTCATATTCTTAGGAAGTCAGGTATAATGACAAAATAAAGTCACACTCCTTTTATTCTGTTTACTTCCTTTTAGTGTTATTTTCATTCTATTTTTTTTTTGTCAGTCATGAGCTCTTTTGCTTAAGATTAGTGCTCTACCATTTCAAACCACAGCTCCACTACCGGGTTTTGAGTGGTTGGTTGGAGATAAGAGGCACACAGGGACTTTTCTGCCCAGGCTGGCTTTGAATCTCCATCCTCAGACCTCAGCCTCCTAAGTATCTAGGATTACAGACATGAGCCACCAGCACCAGGCTATTTTCACATAGGTCAGTGGCAGAGCTTTTGCCTAGCAGCACAAATGAAGCTACGGCTTCCCTCCCCAGCCCTGCACAAAACAATAATGAATAAATTCATCTAATTGATTGACATAGTCATCCATTTTTTTCTCTTTTCAAATTGCTAAATCTTGATGAATGCTGCATAATCCATCTTGCTCTGTTTTCCCTGGCTAACACAGTTTAACCCTCAGGGGAGAGATGCATATGATGTGGAATGTTCACTGGACTGGAGGGTAATTCGATCCTGTTCCTAAATCAGCCACAACCTTTGCAAAACTCACCCATGCTCACTGGGCCTCTGCTGTCTTTTGCATAAAGCGGGTTGGGAGATCCTTGGTACTTCAAGTGTGGGCTGTAGACCAGCAGCACTTTGAAGCTTGCTGGAAATGTAAAATCTCAGGCTCCAGTCCAGACTGGCCTAATCAGGATCTGCATTTAACAAGATCACTAGGCAAAAGTAGAGAGACCTGATGTAGATAGTTTCTCTGAGTACCAGGATACCTCGCCTGGGACTCTGCACAGCCTGGTTCATATTCTTATTCAGTGTTTCTCAGCTCTGGCTGAACATTAGAATCATCTGGAGAGCTTTTAAAATTTCTGATGCCCAGATAAGTTAAATTAGAATCTCTGGCAGTGCAGGCTGAACAAGAGCACTGCTTAAATCTCCCCAGGGGATTCCAATATGCAACCCTTGTTTGAGAGCCTTGACCTAAATATTCCTCCCCCTCCTGGGCCCCCTGTAGTTCATTCTCTCTTATATTTTCGACTGTACCATAAACGCTGTTTCCAATCCCCAAGACTAACAAAGAACGTGATCGCTTCTTATTCTGGCCTCTCCTTTAAGCACAATTGGCTGCAGGGAGACTATAATGGCTGTGGCAGTTCTTAGCCACTGAGTTCCAGGGATTTAGCATCCACTTTGGAATCTGGGATTTTGGTTTAGGGAAGTCAACCAATATTTGCCACAAAAGCACTAAGAATGGAACCTCTACCAATGCCAGTTCATTAAGCTCTGTGGACTCTGATTTGTACAAATTAAAGAAGTACAATGATAGAGCATCCTTCTGATTCCTATACAAATACCACCTTTCTTCAGCAAGCAGAAGAGAACACAGCAGAAGAGCAAGGATTAGAACTTGGGTCTCCTGCCAGTTTCTCCCTGTCCATCACCTCTCTCAATTCTACCCTTCAAGTTCCTGTTCAGCTTTCTAGACAAAGACTTTCCAGGTCTGCATTTGTCTAGGAGACATAGCACAACAATAGCCACACTAGATTAGTAGTGGAATGACACTTGTGGAGATGAGACCGGGGTCAGCATGTCCAGTCTCTAGACAGAGCTGTCTCTTTTTAACATACGGGAAGTGGGAAGTAGAAAGAAATGCAGATTGGGGGCTGGGAAAATGGCTCAGTGGTAGAGCGCTTGCCTTGCATGCATGAGGCCCTAGGTTCAATTCCTCAGAACCACATAAGCAGAAAAAGCTGGAAGTGGTGCTGTGGCTCAAAGTGGTAGAGCGCTAGCCTTGAGCTGAAGAGCTGAGGGCTAGCGCCCAGGCCCAGAGTTCAGGCCCCACGACCAGCAAAAAAATAAAAACAAAAAAGATATGCAGATGGCCCATAAGCTGAAAATACTCATCAATCCTGAAACAGTGACTTTGAAAGAATGACTTTATAGGTTCCAGTAGTGTAAAGAAAGTAATTTGTAACAAGGGTTAAATAACCTATGAATCTAATAATATATGTACATATATTTCTCTTTTAAGATGCATGAATATCATGCTGTCACATTTCCTCTGATGATTCCTTTATCATGGCAAATTTAGGCAAGAAAATAAGAAATTGGCTCAGATGGCACATCTTCAAGTAGTCTGAGGCCAAAAGAATGAGAAGTCAGGTGACTTAACATCATTAAATACTTTAATCTCTGAAGCTGAGATCTCCAACTAATAGTGACTTGGCTTATGATCCACATCCTGCAGAAAATGGAGAAGGAAAAAGACCTTTCCAAGGGAGAGACGCTGTGGCCTGCTCAGCTCGAGACAATCAGGCTATGATGACCTTTGGAGAAGGTCAGACAGTCTGTATCAGGCTCCTTGGCAGCTTCTCATAAACAAATCATGCTGAAAGAGAAAGTCATCTAAGTTCAACCCTGCCTTGAAGAAGAAAACACTAACTTCTTCTTGCAGCTGTTGTCATAAAGTGTGAATATCTCTTCCTTTGGAGGGGCTGCATCAGAACGAGCAGAATGCTTTCATTAGATGTGGTCAGACACCAGCAGATGCCCATACATCTAATTTGACAGCTGTATGTACCATGAGCTGCAAGGTGTTATTTTCCATTAGTAAAATAATGGGTCATTAGTCCTTGACAAGTGAAAACTTATTACTCAAAGTTTATGCATTGATAACTCCATTTATCACAAAGATATGATGACTCATTATTTTCCCACCCAGAAAGCAAGCAAGCTTTTCCTTTCTTGTGGTTTCCATTGAACATGTCTTTGATTGCTAGTCAGACAAAAAGATTCTGTTTCCCTTTTTATCATCTACAGGTGTGTCTGGGTTTATGCAACAGAGTTAAGACAAATGATGAGTGAAATCAATTTCTGAATATGGACACCTTTTATTTTTCCTTTTTCGCTCAAGGCTAGCGCTTTACCTTTTTGAGCCAGGGCACCACTTCCGGTTTCCTGGTGGTTACTTGGAGATAAGAGTCTCACAGACTTTCCTGCCCCGGCTGGCTTTGAACCACCATCCTCAGATCTCATCCTCCTGAATAAGTAGGATTACAGGCGTGAGCCACCAGCGCCCAGCTATGGACAGCTTTTAAATGTGCAAGGAGATGAAACAACTGGAATAAAGCTTGTGGCAAAGGAATTTTTTCATTTCATAATAAAGTTTCAGAGATAGCTCCCATTTCTTACGGTCGGTCCTCATTCTTTTGTAATGTAGGTTGATGAAAAATAGTATTCAAATTCGGTAATTTTTGGTCTTATACAAAAATAACAGATTTTAGCACAAGAACCTATGGCTAACCACAATATTTTCATTTTATAAGCATATAAATGTTAATTTCTAAGTAAAGTGCTATGTAATCTGGACACATAAAAGGAAAAAGATTAGCAAATGTGTAGTAAAATTTCCTGTTTATGTTCAAGAAAAACTAGGACTATCTCCATAGAGGTTTGGGGCCTGGAATAAGTCACATAAGCTGAGTGCTCCATGGCAGAAATATATTTCCTCAGGCAAAATCTGGTTAAAATGAACTTCAAAGCCCTCTTAGATCAAGAGAAACCAGAGCTTAAATGTCAGGATCAGAGGAGGTAAACTTCTGATTAAAATAAAGTAAGTCACCATGAGATAGGAAAAGTCACAAAGGGCAGTGCTCAATGATTTGTTTGCAAAGGATTATTGGGTCTCTCCCAAGCCCCCAATATGTCAGGGGATGAGATTCACTAGCGAGCTGCGCACCACTGTCTATCTCAAGACACTCAGAGGAGTAACGGAAACGTACACGCCAACTGTGTATAATGTCAGCCAATCTGCAAAAAGCCTGAGGGCCATGAGGGATTCACCCGGGTGTTGACAGCTGACCTGGGCTATAAGAACTCCAAAGAAGAGAATGATGGAAGGGATGATGATGATCATAATTCATTGTACTCACAAATTGACATGTTGAACTGAAACCCCTTTGTACAACTACTTAAAGATATTTTTACTTTAAATTTTATTGTAAAGATGATATACAGAGGGGTTACAGTTACATAAGTAGGGTGATGAGTACATTACTTTTGAACAGTGTTACTCCCTTCCTCATTTTCTCCTACTTTTTCCCCTCTGACTCTCCTCCCCCCTAGGGTGTAAGGTTCATTTCCAATATAGTATCTAGTGACTTAAAGATAAGTTTTAAAAATAAAAATAAAAAGAGAACCCCAGAGTTTCCCCAGGCAAAGACAGCAAGGAAAAGCCATACTTCTTGAGGTCACCAGACCATGAGTCAGAGATCTGGGAGGCTTCCTGGATAAGTAATGGAGAGACACTCTGGGATTTTGGGTGGTGGTGGTGGTGGTGGTGGTGGTGGTGGTAGGGCTTGAACTTAGGGCCTGGGCGCTGTCCCTGAGCTTTTAGCCCAAGGCTAGTGCTCTACCACTTTGAGCCCCAGCTCCACTTCCAGCTTTTGAGTGGTTAATTGGAGATAAGAGTCTCATGGACTTTTGTGCCTGGGCTGACTTTGAACTGTGATCCTCAGATCTCAGCCTCCTGAATAGTTAGGATTACAGGCCTGAGCCACCAGCACCTGGCCTCTGGAATATTTTTTTGAAGGAGAATGATTCTGTGGTTCTTTATTGTACCTTATCCTTCTTCGTGTATGTACGATTTTAAATGACGAAAAGTAAAATAGCAAGAGGGACTGATGAAATCAAAGGCAGTGTCTTTGCTTTAGCCTTGCTGCTACCCAATCCCTTTTCTGTCTCTGTCACTCCTCAGAGCCATTTCCTGTTTTCAGCTCTTCTGGTGTTTGTCACTCAATTTCTACATTGTAACTCGCAGAAAACTGTCAGGAAGGAGACATTCCAGCTGGGGACAAGCCTGGCCTTATGGACTAGGGATGGGCTAGAGGGAATCAGAAGGTGTGGCTCCTTGGCTGCCTCTGTGTGGTAAGCATTGACCTGCAGTAGGGATGAAGGTACTATTCAGTTGCACACTCCGCTGCTTGTGTAGACCTATCCCTGAGGCCACGAGTGATGATTCAAGTAGGGCCACCCACTAGACAAGTGATCAGTAATTATGGGATGGGCTCACTTCCTTTAGAGAGTTTTCATTGTCAGAGCCAGTGCTAGCTGGGCTGCTTCTCTAAGAGGAGGGAAGAGAACAAGGCTTCAGTTAATCCCCTCAAGTTAAAACTGACTTCCTATTCTTACCTTCTGTTTTACCTGGCTGCTTGAGCCAAGAAGCAACCTCACCTTTGGGAGACACAATTTGGCTCCTGTCTGTGCTGCAGTCTTCCCAGGGTCTGAGATGTGGCATCTATGTTTTCTTTCATCTGTCAACCAGCTTTGCAGATTTGGACCTGACTAGGTGCTTGTAATTGAGGGTGGGGCGTGTACAAGGTGCTCAAAAGCTAGCTCTTCCTCTAACACAATGCTTGGCTCTATTTTCCATGGACCTACTAGTTGTGGCCTTGATCCACCATGCTGTTAGAACAAAATAGCCAAGATGGATATTTGTTTGAAAAGAGAAAGAATGTATTTCTCATAGTTGTGGAGGCTTGGAAGCTCAAGCTAAATGTACTAGGAGGTTTGGAGAGGAGGGGAGGGAGGAATACTGTGTCCTGTGTGGCAGAGGAAATGAGCCACTGCAAATCAACCCCTCTGCTGAGCTGACCATTGGACCCTTAGGCCTTTCCTGCAACAACTCTCCCAGCCACCCCTGTTCCTTGCCAACATAGAAACCGGACTTTAGACGTATTAGGCAGTCTTTGTATCTTCTGAACACTGGGGACCCTTGGCTCAGATACCCCAGGAACTTTCACTCCAAGCTCTCTTTGTCCCTCGGGTTGGATGCTTTTTGTTTTGCTTTATTTTATTTTTGTCAGTCATGGGGCTTGAACGCAGGGCCTAGGGCCCTGTCCCTGAGCTTTTTCACTCAAGGCAAGTGCTCTACTAGTTTGCCACTGCGCCACTTCTGGTTTTCTGTTGGTTAATTGGAGATAAGAGTCTCACAGACTTTGCTGCCCAGGCTGGCATTGAGAGCTCAGCCTCCTGAGTAGCTAGGATTACAGGCGTGAGCCACTGGTACCCGGCTTGGATAGTACATTTCTAACTCTCAACCAGGATTCAGAGGTGAGTGTGGAACAGAGGTAAATTCTGCCCACTACACAGCCTTTTGGATTCTTCAATCAACCCTCAGTCTCCCTCATATGTCTTTAAGTTGAGTGATAGGCTAAGACACTCCCCCCACACACACACACAAACACAACCCCTTTGCTATAGTTTGATGTTATGTGTCCTCCAAAGTTCAATGTTTAAGGTTTATTTCCTAGTGTGACACTATTGGGAAGTGGTAGAACCTTTAGGAAGCGAAGCCTAGTGGGAGGTTTTTAGGTCATCGGGTCTGTGTCTTTGAAGGAGATTGTGGGACGCTGATCTATTCTTCATTTGATTCCTGGCAGTGCAATAAGTGATTTACTCTATCCCACATTCCCAGCCGTAGCCATGCAGCATATGCTGCTCTCCTCCAGGCCTAAAGTCATGGGTCCACCTAATTTGGAGCTGGAAACTCAAATCTCAAATAAACATTTTCTCTTCATAAACTAATTATCTTGAGTATTTTGTTAGAATGGCAGAAAGCTGGATGATACATTGTTATCCTACAGACACAAAATACCCCTTTCTCTAGAATTTAGGGATTACCACATAGTCCCAGTGCTAAAGCCTCAGCTGAAACAAGAGACAAGAAATGGCTCACCCAGCACTGGTGTTATATCGCTAAGAAAACAGTAAGGTATAGAAGCAAAACGGAGGAGAAAGATGGAAGGGATAACAATGATCAAGATGCATTGTACACATGACCTGACTGATGAAATTGAAGCCTGTTTGCACAACTCCTTCATAGTAAAAAAGAAGCATTTGAGTACATAAGACAGATCGAATAACCTTACTACTACAGTGATAAAGATTTCATGCTTTAAGAAAACTTTGTAAAAAAAAA